AAAATTTTAACAATTTAGACTGTATGAAAGCTACATTGGTGTGATCCCTGTACCCCATCTTATGCACAATTCTTATTGCTCTTTTTTGTAATATATACAATGGTTGAAGTGAGCTTTTGTATGTATTTCCCCAGTTTTCAACGCCATACTCTAAGTATGGTAAAATCAATGAAGAATACAAAATCCGTAGTGCTTTCCCGTCCAAAATATATCTAACCCTTGCCAATATCGATATATTCTTTGCTATTTTGTGCTGAACATATCTGATATGAGATTTCCAGGAGAATTTGTCATCAACTATGACACCTAGAAATTTAATTTCATGTACTCGTTCTATATTAGCTCCCCCAATTTTCAATTGAAGTTCATTATTTTGTCTACGATTCCCAAATACCATAAATTTAGTTTTATCCAAATTCAGAGATAGTATATTACTATCACACCATTTCTTTATCTTCTCAAGTTCCTGTGAAACCCGTCCAGAGAGTTGCTGTAGGTTTTCACCCGATGCCCATATGGTAGTGTCATCAGCAAATAAAACCACTTTCACTAAATCAGAAACCTTGCATATATTGTTGATGTATAATATAAATAATTTAGGTCCCAAAACAGAACCCTGAGGCACTCCACATACAATACCCAGCTCACTCGATTGGTATTCACCCAACTTCACAAATTGACGCCTCTGTGTCAAATAACTTCTAATTCATTTCAGAACCATTCCTCTGATCCCATATTTATGACTTCACATAGCATTTGCTTTAGTGTGTTTTTTTTTAATCTGTTATCCAACACCAGGTTACATCTTCAGTGTTTCCCCCCCCTGCAATCTCACAGATGTCTACAGGGTGCCTGAAATGACTCAGTATTTGCCTGGGGTGAAACCAATATTCCACAGTCTGCGCCAGACTCACCTCTGACAGCTCTGCATACTATTGGCAAAATCTCAACCAGCTTCCTGATGTAGTCACCTGGAATATTTATCAGTAACAGCTGTGCTTTATTGAAAGATAAATGGTGGAATTTCTTGCCTTCGAAATGCATATGAGGCCATCATTTGAGTGTTGGTATACAGCAAATAAACCTATTTAACAATTCTAATAATCCCTAATGTGCTAAGAAATGCATAAATAAATAAAGAGAAATGACGGTCCATCTGTAAGACTTGAAGGCCAGGCAATCTGAAAGACCTTTGAAACATAAATAAAGAGAAATGACGGTCCATCTTTAAGACTTGAAGGCCAGGCAATCTGGAAGAACTTTGAAAGTGGCTCTCCTAAGGACCTCCCCAGGAAGGAAGACCAAGAAGTACCTCTGCTGCCCAAGATAAGTTCATTAATCAGTGAACAGCACCTCAGATTAGAGCCCACATCAATGCTTCCCAGAGTTCAAGCAGTTGACACATCTCAACATCAACTGCTGGAGGAGACCTTCATGGTGGAACTGCTGCAAAAAGACCATGACAGACTGAGACCGTTTAGAAGATGAGAATTGTTTGGCCCAAGGAGCTAAGAGCATTAGACCAGTGGAAAGCTGTACTTTGGTCTGGTGAGACCACGTGAGAGTTTTGGTTCCAACCATCATGTCATTGTGAGATGCAGTGAAGGTGAGCGGATGTAAGCTGCATGTGTGGTTCCCACTGCGAGGCATGGGGGAGGAGGTGTGATGTTGGGGGTCTCTGCTGGTTACACTCTTGCAGATTTATTCAGAATTCCTGGCACACAATCAGTACTGGCTGCCACAACATGTTGCATTGTCACACCACCCCATCTGGTTTGTGCTTTGCAGGACCATCTTTTTTTTGCAACAGGACAGTGACCAAAAACATAGCTCTAGTCTATGTAAGGGTTTTTGCCCAAGAAGCAGAGTGATGGAGTGGCCTCCACAGTGACCAGACCTAAACTCAGCTGAGATGAGTTGGGTCACAGAGTGAAGGAAGGGCAGCCAACAAGTGCTCAGCAGATGTGGGAACTCCTTCCAGACTGATAGAAAACCATTCCAGGTGACCACCTCACGAAGCTGGTTGAGACAGTCAAGAGCGTGCAAAGCTGTTATCAAAGCAAAAGGTGAATACTTTGAAGAATCTAAAATTGAAAACATATTTAGCTTTGTTCTAACAGTCCTCAGGTGGCCCTGTGCCAGCTGCTTACCTCTTAGCATGCAGACTTGATGTGAGTTCCAGTGCATGCACAGCTGTCAAAATGAATCACATTTAAAGCAGCCCTGCCCTTGCCCCAGTTTAAAAAAAAGTCTGACGTGGTCGTATCTCCAAATATAACTTGCTTTTGTAAATCGACAGGGAAAGACATGATCAAAGACAGAGACAGCAGCGATACACATGAGACCAGGGTTTTTCCCCATCCTTATGTTTCTATTTTTTCTCTCCCAATGGTTTGCCATTGATGATGCTCTTTGTTAAACTTTCTTCTTAATGAAAACATCTTATCCCTGTTACCGTCTGCATTCCAGTTTTATGTTCCATCTTCACTGCCTCAATGATCATTCTTTGGCCGTGTTTAGGGATTTCTATGCTCTCTTCTCCTTCCTAAACACTTCAGTGTGTGTGCATGTGTGTCAAGTCTCTGTCTGCAAGCATGTCCTCTGCATGTGTGTTTTTTAAAAGTTGTCTTTCTGTTTTTATGTGCTTGTTACTCATGTCTGCAGTCCTTTGCATATATGCTTTCCAGTGAAGGCACTAACCTCTTTCTTCCCTCGTTCCTCGCCTCTCATGCCTCCTTGTCTTCATCTGTATTGTTATGGTCCCAGGACTTCTCTTTTTTCTCATCTCTGCTTTGCCTCTCTTTGGTTTGAATAAAATGGAAACCATCAGCTACAGCTTGTCTTTTTTGTCACAAATGTTTCTGGTGTTTTTTTCTTTTGCCTTCTGCTCTAGTCTCTTCAGTTTTTAAAATCCAGAGTTCTTTATCAAGTATGTGCCTGTACCATCCCTCCAGTTTCACTGTGAATGTGTTGTGATGACATTTTTAAATTGCTTGTTTTGTCCAACCAACAGTGTAACCACATGACAATAGCAAAGACATAAAACTGAAAGAAGCAGTATTTACTCATGCTGGAGAAGCTAGAACCTGAAAAAGTTTGGTATTTTTGCTTTGGTAAATTATTTAAACTATTAACCAGTGTTGGGGAGTAGTGAACTATGTATAATTAAACTACCACAGTAGTTTAACTACATTTTGCAGTAGTTTGCTGGTAGCTCAACTACACTCATGTTTGCATAGTGATGCAGGTAGTTACTTTTTTTTTTCCAATTTTTTTAGTTCATTACTGAAACTAGAAACTGTTTGGGGCAAGAAAAGGATGATTTTTTTATTTTTATTTCTTTTTACTATGCTGTGTGAGGCCTGGTTTTCAGTTTTGTCCTTGTGAAAGGCCCAGATGCAATAGTTTTATCTAAGACAGGTTTAGTTCTCAAATGTAAACTCTGCTGAGTGGCATGTGAATTTTTATGTCTCCGTGCCAGTGATTATGTTTTTATGTTCTCTGTCATCCGTCCACATGTCCATCCGTTCCATTTTTGTGAATGTGTTATGCCTCAAGGATGTGAACTGATTAGATTTTGGTAGTCAAAGGTCAAGGTCAGTGACCTCACATCTGTTCCATTCCTGTGGATTTGACTGGATATTTTTGTATCACGTGTACATTATCAATTTGGTTTTTTGTTTTTTACCACATAGTTTGAACTGCATTTTTAAAGTAGCATTAACCAAACTAGATTTTCCCTAAAGTAGTTTTGCTGCAGTTCAAGTTCTTCCAGTGTGAAGTGATTGGTAGCTTGCGAAGCTATGCTTTCTAAGTAGCTTCCCTGACACTGCTATTAGCTATTTCACAAATGTTTGGTTTCATGTAGTATTCTAAAAAGCTGACTGTAAAAATTTGAATATTGCAACACCACCGGCATTTTTTTAAAATGACATCTTAAAAGAATTAAAAGATTACTGATCACTGGACTAACACTGTGATAGACTGGCGACCTGTCCAGGGGGGACATCGTCTCTCAGCCAGTGTCAGCTGGGATTGGCTCCAGCCCCCCTGCAACCCTCATCAGGATAAGCGGTATTGATAACAGATGAATGGGTGGTCACTGGAGTTAATCCTGCTATCCATACTGGCCAGTGATTTAGATCTTTGTTCTGTACAAATTGAAGGTGAACTGACAACAGCATAAATGCCAATAGCTTCTCCAGTGTCATGATTATCTGCTTTTCTCTGTTTTATCTTTCATCATGGTTGGTCTTTCACACTATTCTGGTAATATATAGACTAAGTGATTAATAGTGCAATCAGATAAATTGATAATGATGATAATCATCAGCCCTACTGTAGCTTGTCACAGCAAATCTTTTTGTACCTGTTGTTTTATAATTCAGGTAAAGTTTGTCTGTATGCTAGACTGACACTGTACAAAAAGCAATTCATTATTATGTATTCATTGACTATTTATTATTAAGATTTGTTCACCTGGCTAAGATCTAGAACTTTTTTGATCCTTTACTTTAGCTTGTGTTTACGTCTTTCATCCAGTCTCTGTTCCCTCACCTGTCGACTGTTCTTGGTTCACGGCCCTTCCTCTTTTGCTTCCATCTTTAGCGTCTGGTAAAGATGAACATGCCCATTGCAGATGACAACACAGTGCATTTCACCTCTACACTGATGGCTCTTATTCGCACAGCCCTGGAGATCAAACTGGCATCTGGTGAGAGACTAAAACTGCAAAATCCAGAGTCCCTTGTGGCCGCACAGATGGCTCTGATATCAGTGTGAATAGTGTTGATCGCTGTGGTGCAGATTTGAAGTGACGTGTTTGTGGGCACATCCCCAGGGGTCCTGGCGCAGCATTTGTGTGATGCTGACCTGAAGAGGGAGATAAACCGAGTCTGGCCCAACCTGTCTCAAAAGACTGTCGACCTGCTGGTGACACCACATAAATGTGAGCCACAGTTTTGTTCAGATTCCACTGAGCTAGAGTAAGCTGCTTGCTTGGTAACTGACTTCTTCCAGTTCTTTTCTAACAACATCTTTTGAAATTTGTTTTTTTTTTTGTGTAGCATCACTGATACTACACGAACACAGATATTTAAAAAAGTACACATTTAGGACATATAGACAAAAGTAGCTGAGTAAGATTTTTGTATTATTGAGCCCTAAAAATCAAAATCAGGCAGTGCTGCCAGATCATTTCACAGTATTTCTAATACTGATCAACAGGTTTAAAAATTAGCCACAGTTGTCATTTTTCTTGCTGCTAATGCAGTGATAGGCATTATTCTGTTATCCTCGGATAACACTTCTTTATATAAAACTCATGAAATTAGTTTAAAGCAACAGTTTTTGCTTCAGTAATCAAAAATACAATACTGTTCATCTGGTGCCACCTACTGCCCACACTGGGGACTGTGTGTCATTCTACTTCCTCCTCTTCCAGACAATGAGCTGACCGTGGGGAAGGTCTATGCAGCTGTAATGATTTTTGACTACTATAAGCAGAATCGTGCCAAAAAACTCCAGCAGAATTCTTCAGGACCTCAGGTACAGCACTGTAGCAAAATATCACTGCAAAGAGTTCAGTGGTGGTTTATGCAGGAATAAATAAAAACTTAAAAAATAAACATGTTAATGAGTGGAATAATCCTAACTCTTAGTGTATTTGGGTTTTATATTGCTTATGGGAGTTTTATTTTATACTGCTGACTAAATGAGACTAATATGATATGACCTTGTAATATTTAAAGGGACACATGCATCGCATCTAATTTCACTTGAATAATCAGGTTTTCACGTCATTATTTTTGGTCTTAAGTTTTAAGAAGACAAAAGTGATCCTAGTTACAAGATAGTGGAATTAGTGCCAGTTTCATTCCTTTTAGCAAATTTTTCTGTGGTGACTGGGGTTATGAGCAAAATAACTCATGAAGGCTGAGACTAAATAATAAATAAATATAAGATGATAATGAGGTGATTTTTTTCCTCCTTATCATACGTGTAGAAATTCTGCCCAAATCCAAATGTCAATGCCAATTCAATGACTCCAGTCATGATAATTGCTGTTGATCTGTCGTGCAGAGTAAACTGGGGGCATTGTTCCATCCTGTGCTGCCCCTCACTCACATACAGGAAGTCGAACCACCAATCTGCAGCCCCAAACAGTTCCACCCACCCCATCCTGAGCCAGAAGTTAAGCCACAGGCCCCACCTACTACCACCTCCATAAACAGGGACACAATGTGAGTATTATACAATACAAACATGATGTATCTCCAGTCAAAGACGGAGCTGTTGATGATAAATGATACTGCAGTGTTACCTTCCAGTGTCTGTATTGGTCTTGTTATTTGATTGAAACAAGGTTCACAAGTTTAATCTAAGTCAGACGAGCAACGTTCCTCAATGGCCAGTTGTCCAGAGGCAGAATTACTATACAATATGTTGTACACACACTGTACTGTAGTTCCCTTCACTGCCCTGTAGGTCAGCACCAGCATCTTTAAGTAGAGATGAGCTACATTAGATCAGGGAGCCAGTTTAGAGAGTGCTGGACTAGCTGCAGACTTCTCTAGACATTTAACTTCAGCTGCTGCACAAAGTCCTTGACTATTAAGTGGGACTAAGAAACATGGCTGACTGAGCAACTGTGTCAAGCCACTCAGTCTTGTTCACTCCAGCAGGAGATGTTTGTCTTCTGGAAGAAATCATCAGGTACATGAACATTTTGCTGCTAATATTCACTGAAAAGTATAATTATGGAAAACACTTCCAACAGAACAATGTCTTAGCTCAGTGCAGATCTGTAGAAGAGCTGCAGTGCTGAGGCTTTGTAATGTCTCACACCTCAGTACATCAGCCAACTGGCCACTCAGACTCAGGGAAGTTTCCTTGAACAAACAACTAACACTGTCCTCACTGCCCATTACTGTATTTCCAACAAGTTTTCTCATTACTGACTCTGCAACATTGTTATTTGCCACAAATGATCAGCCATAGTTTCTTGTTTTTGGTCATTCAGTGCTGCAGCAGATGTCATTGATTGCTACCATGAAAACATGAACTTTGAATTCTGTGTTAGCCTGGAGTAGGTATAACATATTTTTGCTTTGTGGGAATGTCTTAACTTGCATTAGATCAGTCCAAGAGTACAATTAAAACTGTACGAAAATATGAGCTGCCTGGGTCTCAGGCCCTACAAGAGTGAATACTGTCTTGATATTACAGTTAGGGGTCTTGTATGTCCATATACAGAATAACTCAGAGGAGTGCCATAAAACATTCGCAGTCTGGAGATGTTTCTCAGACAACACAAAGGCCCAAAGGCCAGAGGAAACTACAGAGGGGCCAGTCAGAAGATGTGTCATATTCCAGCAGCCCTCAGGTACAAAAACACCAAGAAATGTCCATCATCTAAATGTTATTTCACATTCTGACCTTGTGTGAAGTCCGTCCTCTGTGTTGGCTCTATACATACTACAGCACCTCTTGTCTTTTCCTTTCAGGAAGTGCTTGAACTGAAGCAGGTGGACAACATTTCAGACTCAGAGGGATATCCCAGCTTGGAAGGCCACTGCAGAGCAGCCTCTCTGCCCCGACTCAACGCCGAGTACTACGTAAGCTCTTCAGCGCTTATGATGCCATGCTTCTTGTTTTATTATTGACTGAAAATATCTTTGCTGTGAGCTGCATTCTTAGTATTATATCATGTTCTGAAAATGCAGACACTGTCGATACCTTAAGATTATTGGCTGAGGTACAGTAGCAGACCCTGGAAAGGGCTACAAAAGGCTGGAGAGATGCTGAGTGGTATGTAGTTAGTAAAAACAGCTGTGAGATAACAAAAGCAGAGTTGCTCTGTCAGTCTTCATCAGCTCATCCTGTTGACCCTGACCTCTCCAGTCTGACAGCTTCACATTCTTTACTGAGGAGGAATTTCAGGATAGACATGAAATCTATCATGTTAGATAGGGACATAATGATCTAGAACTCTAAATACTGATTGACACAGTATCACAGACCTAAATCTCTGCCTAATGTGGTGCTACAGTGTCCCAGTGATGTCATATGCTGGGTAAAATGGACCTTCCCCACAACAAGTGTGCTGGACCTGTGACAAGCTCAAAACAAAATTTACAAACATGCATGCTCTTCCAAAGAGAGAAATAAACTGTATAATTTGCAGGTACATATGATAGATGAACCAGCAAGTCTCAGTAATTAAATACAGCCTCAGTGTTTTATCAGTCCCAGGCCAACCTTGTCTTATTTGAGTACTTCAGCATTTTGGGAAACACAGTTGGCTTGTTTGCTGTCTTTCTGAGAGGTAGACTAGAAAATGAATGCCATAGACATGTCTTAGCCTTAAATGTGAAGCTGAAGCTGGGAGGATATTTTCTGAGCTTTTGATATTATATCTGTTTTAATGAGATACACCAAGTTAATTACTGAGCTGTAGGTGTTGGTAGGGATTTCTGACCTTTAGGCAGAGTGGGCTAGAACCTGCTTTCCGTTAATCAGCTCTCAGCTCCCAGACATGATCTAAAACTAAAACTCTGAAGCAAACAAGTGGAACTATTAATGTGTTTTAACACTGATATATTGCACAGACCTAGTAAATTTAAGGAAAAAGAATTAATGATTTGAACTTGATTTTTACTGAATATTGCATCAGCAATGTTGACTTGTACAGTAAACCAAGCACAAAATGTCTGTGGTAGAAAAAGTACTAAACCGTTGAGTGAAAATGCAGATCCACAGTGTCTGTCATGTACACACTTCTCAATATTTAATCGTTTTAGCAGATCAAATAATCCAGTTCATTTGGTCCTCTTGTATTTTGGTGTAAAATAGAAACTGATAACAGTACCTGTAAATAATGGTTTTTAAAAAACTAACCTGATCTTTTCAGTACAACATGAGGTTAACTATTGTCTGAATTTCTTAGAAATCTGTAGAATATTTGTGTTAGGTTTACTTATCAATGTAATAATTTTAAAACATATTATGATTATTAATCTTTTTGCATTTCATACAGTACTCACTCTCCCACAACACAATGGGGTCTAATCTAACAGCTGAGTTTAGCATAACTTCAGTAATTCTTTTATTTTTGTGAATTTCACTTATTGCAATCCAGTTCTTCAAATGTTCATTTTGTCATTTTGTGAGTAGCTGTTCTCATCTGCTGTGTTCAGATGTCATATCAAAAAGAGTTTTCTGTCCCTCATTTCTGTTTCTGGATTGTTGCTCCTGTTTGACCGTGTCTGTTGAGCATTGCTCTTTGTCTGTCTTTCACTGTCACCCTGCTCTCTCCAGCCCCTAACATGAGCTTTCCTTATATTTATGTTGCATTTTGAGCTCTCACTCCTTCTTTCTCTTTAAAGGATAAGCCTGGTGTTATTCTGTATTTTTGTTATTGTCATCAGGTTCCATGAAAAGACCAAAACCAACAACGTGTTGTCCCATTACTCATTACCTTAGGTTTTTTCAAGACAGAAATCTTTTTAAAATAGTGGCCATATGCTTACAGTGCACACCAAGTAATTGCAACTGTCTGCACCTTCACTGTCAAACTTTTAGCTGATGTTATTCAATTATATTGCAGGTACAGTAAATATTGCAATTGTTGGGGCCTGTGTTCAGCGCTGAATTAATCCACATTTGATGTTCTACCAGGGATTTCCTGTAGCAGAAAGGTTTCAGTGGGACTGAGTCAACTTAAACTACAGTGTGTTTGTTCATGGTAATGAAGTAACATGTCAGCAGCTCCCTGATGTGTTTTACTACCTTCTGGACAACAGTGGAGCTGTGGAGATATATCAGACTTTGGCTACACAGACAATACTTGATAAATTCATTGCTGGTTTTGGTCCTTTTATGAGATCAATTGACTGTAGGAAAATATAGAATGTCACCAGTTTTATTTTTAATAAGTCTCTTCTTCTTTTCCTCTGTCTTCCCTTTCTTCTAATTTTGATGCCCACTGCTAATGTTTTACCCACCTCCCTCTTGTATGTGCTGTCTGACAGCGGAGCCACCCTCGCCACGCCCCTGGGACCTACCTGGCAGTATGTACCACCTGTTGTGCCAACTCTATCTCTGTTTTCTCTTCTTCTCCCTCTTCCTTTCCCTCTTTTTTGACTTCTTCTCTCATGTCTGTCTTTGCCTCCATGTGCTCCATGTATACACTGATCATTCCATGAAATTGCTGACAGACACATTACAAGCAACACACAAATTTACCATTTCCAGAAAACATACTCATCCCTGGTAAAGTATTTGTATGTATATCTGGGAAATGTCAAGTACTCTGTCCTGCTTTCCAGCTTTTAGCTAAGCAGTGCAGTACTCCAGTTTGATAAAAGATAGTCTATGTGTGTCCTGTTGTGTAGTAATGTAGTAGTGAAGCAGTGTGTGGTGTTTTTGTGATTCAGTATGTGATTGTGGAACAAGGCAGGGACAGTGCTGCTGCTTTCCTGCTTTGCAATAACTATTTCCTTTCAACTAAAAACCTATCCAACCTTATGCCATTATTTTCAGTCTTAAAATCTTATTTTTCACACATCAAATGCAAATCAAACGAGTCTGATTCATCACTTGAATTGTTTACTGGCCCTCACTTCAAGACTCTTTCAGTAATGTGAAAGAAATATGCAGGTTATATTATTAGTTTTGTATTATATTATGATGTTTATCTAAAGGGTAAGATTTTAAGACTACATACTAGATAAAATAACTTGGTAGATGGATGGTTGTTGATAATTCTTTTTTTGTTTCAGTGTTATGTGTGACTGTAGCTACAGGATACACTCTGAGGTAGGAGCAGGACGAACAGCACAACCACCCCAAATCTGCCTGTAAAAGATCATCAACATTTTAATTGTTATCATGATTATCTAAAGTTTTAACTTTATTAATCCAGTCAGAAACTGTTTTATTTGGAAACTAACATCTCAAGAAGCTATGAACTAAAATCACTACACATGTACAGTGTTAACCAGCAGGTGGGGTGTTAACTTAGCTGCTGTTCAGTTCACTATCACACCAGTTTGTTACCTGCTAGCTGTACTAGTCAGTAGGACAAGTTAATAAGAAAAGAATTAGGTGGGGTGAATGTCATTGTCCTCAAAGCATTAATCACTGTATTAATATAGAATACACCATTGGAGTCATATATAATATTAGAACTTTTAACACTTAAAGGACCAGATCATTCCTTGAGGTGCTGGTGAAAAACAAAAACAGAGGTTCACTAGCAAGTTGACTGTATCAAAACAAAGGAAAAAGCCAGTGGTTTTCTTTTTGTTCTACAAAGAGTTCCAAAGGACAAGGACAACTATCAATTTTTACACTATCCGAAGTAAGAAAAAGTCAACTGTGCATGCGCTTGACCACTGCTGTTTCGATTGCTGGCTTCTCCGCTCTGCATGTCGAAGTGTCCTTGTGTGTGCTTGGGAGCATACATAGGCGAATAGGCAAATAGTGTGAACATGTTTTGAGTGTGCTGCAATGTATAGAAAACCTATACAAGTCCATTACCATAACAACATGACAAGCTGGTGGAGTAGTTTACACAGAGCAGAGACCATGTGTATGCACAGCTGGGCTCTTTCTTACTTCAAAGAGTACCAAAAATTGGTTTTAGCCTCTGTATGGGATTTGTGTTAAAAAAAGAGAGAAAATTATCAGCATTATTTTTAAAAGGTGCCACTGTTGTTGACACATTTTTTTCAACTGCCCCATGTGTCCAAAAAAGTCAGTGCAGGTTTATCATTTTGAGTATCACACAGCTGTTTGTCATTTTGTGCAGAAAGCATGCAGGGCAGTGACATAAACAAGGAAAAAGAAACATTATCAAAAGCACGACTGACTCCAAGAGAAAAGATGTAAATTGCAATAAAGTCAGTATAAACCATGCTAAATCAAACGTGGTGCAGGATTTCTTCCTCCTTGACTAGCTGGAGCACCTTGCAGCAGCAAGAGGCTTATTGCTGCCACTCATGGTCAGAAATGATTTGATATTTTAGCAATTCTTTCACTCCTCCCAACCACTGAGTTTGTATTTTCAGCATAATTTCCATTCTGAATTATATAATGCATGGGCAAATGAAATGTAGCTATTACTAGCTGTTTTTCTAGCTGAAAAACAATAAAATGCCACAAAGGTCAAAGACAACACCCCACCTCTTCTTTGCTGACTAGCAGAGATGCCTGCTAGCTTACAAGTTATGCAAGTTCTGTAATAGTATTAGGTTCTATCACAGATGTGTGGTCATTCTTCTCAAACTTCTCTAACATCTGTGCCTGGAGAAGAAGGTTCAATGTCAGCCTTTAGACCAATGGTTGCTTTCTAACAGTCGTTCCATTTGTGTATTGTGGATATTTTGGTGATCCAGTAAGTGGTTGGTGTAAAACCACCACAGCCACCCCTTGGCTGTACCTTCTCATCATGCCTCTCCACGTTTCTCTTTCCTCACTTAGCCAATTGTCGACCTCAGTCCTATAAGACGCTCAGCATCCTCAGTGACACCCCAGTGCCAACAGGAGGTCAGGCTAAGGGAATATGACCTAGAATGGCCCGACCTGTCTGAGTCATCAACAGGGCAAGCTCAGGGCCAGGACAGAGCCAACCACCATCACCACCATCACCATTGCCATCGACGCAGAGACAAAGACAAGAAACAGAAGTCTCTGGATAGAACTCCATCAGTGCAACCATCCAGCACTGTCGGTGAGACAGTATAAGTTCACTTCACTTGCTTTGTTACATCCTAAAGGACTCAACATTAATGAATTAATTAATATATTCACAATTACCTGAGGGTGTAACTAGAGTTTGTCTGGTGAGCAGCATGAAAAAAAGGATCTTTGTGGTCAAGCATAGACATGAGTCCTGTCATTAAGGCAAAGGCCAATTTCTACCTTTATTTTCTCTGCTCCACATGCAGTGAGACTGCAGTGGTCCTAATTAGTAAAGGACTCAGCACACAACCTTGTGGTATCCCCTTAAATATCCCAGGGGTGGTTGTTTGGAAACCACCAGTGCAGAGCAAACCAGTTCTGAGCAAAAGCATTCAAATCAAATGCCCGTGTTGGTGCATTCAAGTATGCTCAGACAGCTCAGACCAAGTCAGCAGAGCAGCTACAGCAATGGCTTTATTTTGTAAAATTTCTATAATCCGTTTCACACTGTCCATGTTGGTTTATTGTTTTTTTGTCTGGGTCCAATTTTAGGGTGGCTTTTCTTGAGACATCTCTTAAATCTCATATGTCACAGTGTCCATAAATTCACCAAGAATGATTTTCAAAATGATATCCAGAAGTAACAACAATATACTGTAGGTCTGACACACAATATTACCTATTTTAAGTAAATTCCAAATCTTTGAATGTTGATTTTCATAGTGTATAGGTTTATGGAATGTTTTGAGGCTGATTAAATCAACTTAGTACTTGTAGTTTGTGGTATAGACTGTTGTCACATTCTTTGTTTACCGTCGTGGATCGTCTGCTAGAGCCCTAGAACCTGAGAGCTCAGGGAAGAGTATTTTCTAAAACTGAGTATTTTCTAAAACTGGAGAGCAGCAGCTGGGCTTTATTGCTGAGATGAAAGACCACAACAGACGAGTCCAGCACAGGGATTTATGGGTACCTCTTGGTGAGAGAGCAGAACGTCTAGCCACCATATCGATCAAGCTGAGAGAAACAACAAGGGGAGAGAGATTTGCTCTCAAAGTTTGTCATTCTAAAGGCAGAGCTGACACATCAGAAAGATGAACAGGCTTTTGTGTTTCTGTCGTTGTGGGTTTAATATGAAAACTTAGTCCAGCGCAGAGGAAAGTAATTCCACCAAGGGAGAGCATACTACTCCCTACCCTCTACAGTTTGCCCTTTGAATAATTAGGACTGTCACCTTTTCAAAAATTGAGTTTGAATAAATATACTCCATTTGAATGAATGTAACTGCAACCAAGGCAGCTTAATCTTAAGCATTGTCTGAGAATAGATATTTCATTTATTTGTGGCTGCCCCATGTAGATGTGTTAAAGGAATAATTAAGCATTTTTGAAGCTCAGAGACAGTTAGCTGAACTTAGCATGAAGTCTAGAAGCAGCAGGAAACAACAAGGTGTATTTTGGCAAGAATTGTATTTTCCAAATAAGGGACCAATCAGCTTATGTCACTTGATGCTTCTGTCACCTAGCTTCATTCATCAACCCTCAAACAGAGGGTATGTCCAGAGAACGAGCGAGGGAGCGGGACCGCAGCCGGCCCCATGAGAGAAGGCATCACTCCTCAGCGGGAGAGAAGCAGCGCTACTACTCCTGTGAGCGATACGGCAGCAGGGAGCCGTGTCACACCAAATCGGCCGGTCCCAGTCGATCCACGTCTCCGGGAAAGGAACAGGAGGCTGATTTGCTCAAACAGGTGAGCTACCGGCTGTAAATTATGACTTTACATAGGTGATCTGTTTTGTAATCATTGCAGTCTGTAAGTACTTGGTTAGTGACAGTAGTTTTGTTTCTGTATTCTTGCATGTTACATGTTGGATTTCAAAGAGTTATAGAGTTACCACCTGACAACCCTCACTGTCCTCTCAATTTAAAGGTTTTAGGTTTGTTTTACATCACCTCTAACCACACCTAACAATGACATCACTGCATACTGGTACACCCTGGAGTACACGTCAACATTACTGCAGCAAAGTGAAAACTTAATCTGATAAAGGTCAACAAAACTAAGATTTTCAGGGGGTCTTATGGGTCTCTTCAATCTCCAGTGTGTTTGAGTTCATTGCCAAACTCACAAAAATGTCCCTCTCTTACAACTTACTGATGTGAGGAAACACCTCAGCAATAAAGCAAACAAATACTGTGATCAGAGTGCCTAAAAATTCTCTACAAAACCATTAACAGAGATTTTACATAGTTTTTTACATAGTTGTGCATATCTTACCTACACAGAATAAATATTTTAGATTTATCACTTATTCTTCCTATACCTGTATATTTTGCTTCTGCAGCACAGTAGCAGTACGGCTAAAGCTGGCCCTGTAACACTCCCCTCTGGTTCCTGCGCACTGGGCCGTGGTCGCAGGCAACTTCCGCAGACGCCCCTCACTCCTCGTCCTGCTGTGGCGTACAAGACCGCCAACTCCTCGCCTCTAACATCCAGTGCCAGCACTGTTACGCCAGGGCACCATACTCGCTTCAGCCGTGGCCTTTCAGAGCATGATTGCTTACTTGGGGGCCATGACAAATCCCCAATACCAGTCACTCGCATCGGTTTGGACCCTAACTTAAACCAGCAGCCACAGGACACTTCTCAACGGCCCCTCCGTGAAGAGACAAAGGACTTCCAAGATGCCAAGAGCAGCCACGGAGCTGGACGCACTGCCAGAACCACTGCCTCCACTACAGCAGCCTCACACGGAGCTGCTGCTGCTCCTATCACAGCACCCACCACACAGGGTGTGATGCCTAACGGGTACCACTTCACCCTCAGGGTCAACCCTGCAGCTGGGCCTGGGAGCAGAGGAACAGGGAGTCTCAGGGAGAAAGAAGAAGAGGACTGGTGCTAATGTGGCGGGAAACCTTGAAAAGTTGGATGGGGTTGCAGTGTTGTACAGCACTTGATAGGAAGCCAATGTATTAATACAAATACAAAAGCCAGTGGAAAGTGCTGTTAAAGGTTGACCAGAGATCATTCCAGCTTTGTAGTGTTACTCTCCTTTTCTATACAGCGAACTCTTGAAGGAAACAAGACACTGATGACTTTTTCTAACCCCCTTTACTTGCACTGAAATTATAGCACATGTGAAGACCCTTTACTTTGCCTTGGCTAGTAAAATCAGTGTTGGCACAGAAGACAAAAGCCAAAATCCCCTCCTTCTGTGAGTGAAACTTTGAACTGTGTTTCAGACTGATCTGAATGCCTCATTCCTGGTGTTAATATGACTGCTCTCACAACACTGTTTTCATTATTATATGTATCATTTTGTTTTTTTGTCTGTCCTGTAGGTGAGAGGAGAGTCTCAAATTGATCTCACTGATGCTGCCACCAAATTATTTTCCTCTTTTTTTAAATTTTCTTCTTTTTTATTTAGGTTTTATTGTGTTAACAGTAATAATGTGGCAAAAATGAGACAAGGGGGTGGCTAAGAAGCGATGAATATTCATGATTATGCTTTTGTAATGTGTACCAGGTATACATTTTTGAGTGCAAACAGGCACTAGATCAATTATTTTCTGACGTTATGTGGCTGAATACTAAGTGCCTCGTTTTCCAAGATGTATTGCGATGCAGCCTGGCCATGGGTCGGTTGGATGTGAATGATGGAATAAGTACACAACTGAGAAGAAGTATAATGAACAAAGCTCTTGTTTGAATTTGGTATACAGAACAGAATGCAAATAAGATATTTTTTCTACTGAATTTTGTGGTAGGTGCCTATGTTGGAATTATAGATCCAAAGTAAGTAATGTAGTGCATGTCAGGGTCGTGAACTTGTCAGAAAAATATTGTCTGTCTATGTGGTAAATATTTGCCTTTCTCTTTCAAATATACTGCCAGTTAGTTGGTATAAAATTGTCTCTGAATGGAGAAAAGTGCCATTTTTTGATTTCTAAGCAGTTTACTACTGTATCGCTGCCATATTTGCCCAAATTTCATCTTTCCTTTCCTCTCACCTCTTTCCTCTGAGAGCAGTATTGTGTCAAGGTTACCTGTGTGTCTTTCACAGGTACAGTAAAGAGTTGTGTTGTTGCTGCTGACTGTTGACTTAAAGTAGGGCTATGCAACAAGACGACACTTCATTTGCCCTGTAGCTTTACCCTCTGGATTCTCCAGGTTCAGGCTTTAGTGTGACTGTGACCAAATTTTACATTTATGTGTGAAGAGTTGTAAATTGTAAATATATTATACTGTATGATGTACAGTTAACTGAAAACAAACATTCACGCACAGATGTATCAAAGCTGATATATGTGAATCACACAAGTCATTTTGAGGTTAGCAAGTTTGACTGCATGATATCTAGCCAGATGGAACCACCCAAAATATATATATATATTTTCAGGTTGTGCTGTCAAGTGATTTTTTTTTGTTTTTGTGGGTTTTAAAATTGGAGAAACAGATTGACCAGATTCACTCTGTCAGCCACAAAAAACATAAGCCTGCCAGGCTAATGTAACTCTTTGGCTACACCATCTTTCTTTCCCTCTTCCTTCTGGGCACAGCATATCTACTTAAGATAAGATTGGTAATAGTTTATATTTTTGTTATTATCAACAATTCATGAAAATCCAAAGCCAACCTTTTCCATATGATGTTTGTGGCACTCAGCCTTAAACCCTTTCTGTTCATGCTGAAGAGGCAAATCACTGTTAAAACAATATAGCGTTTAACTCTGTCTTTATTATTTATTAGTCAGTAACATATTGCAAGAAATTTTAATTATATTTTGGGGACATTTGATAATTGACCAAGGACCAGATCAATGTTTTTTGATGTGTGAATCAAGGATTTCTTGAAATTCTGAGCATTACTGAACACTGTCCAAGGATTTTTTTATTATTTATGTATGGTCATTCAAAACACAAATTAGCTCAAATTAAGAGATTACTAAGTGTCTAAATGTCACTGTTGCTTATTGTATTGTCCTGATTCATCTCTAAGTAAGTTTAAGAACATGTAAATCATTTACAAATATTATTTACTTCCTGTAGTCTCATATTCTGTTTCATGGATCATGTAAAAAGTGAGATTTTTCTCATAAGGTGTAATTTTTTGTTCTTTGTTAAGGATTGCTTTTCATCTTATTGTCTTCAATTTTGCCATATGTGTCAGGTTTGGCGTGTACAGATGCCAAACAGAGGTTGTGGTGAACTCAATTAGAAAACCAGACGAACCGAGGTAGCGACCAGTTCTTTACTTGTTGTAAGCAAAACAACTAACACAAAGTCCAGGATATCAATCAGGTCGATAAGACAGTCCAGGGTCGGCGCCGGTAAATAGGTATAGCCAGGGGATCCAAACTCGAGGTCAAGGGGGACAAAATCAGAAGGTCAGTACACTGCAGGCGAACAGAATCTGGGAGGGCATAGACAAAACACAGTGGTCAAAAACCGGTAATCCAAGGTCAGAAACAGAGAGTCAGGCAAGGTATAAATGCTGGAGAGTCAGAGCTGGGGTCTAGAACAATCTGG